ATAGCAAAATGAAAGCCAATTTTACACAAAGCAAGACATGACATCAATTTTCGAGGCTTTAAAAGCCGCTACAAGCGTTTTATATCAGCGAACTAAACAAGAATATCGGAGAGGGAGCTGTTTTTAACAACAAGTTGTTGTAATTATTCTGATAATATAATTGTAGTGATTTTGATAGAACCAAATTCATTAGGAAAAATGATTCGGAATAAGCAACAAATATGGTTAACTTTTAAAAATAACGTGTCTCCATAAAACAAATAACAGAGAGAGCAATAGAAACGGTTTACCAAAAGCAATCTAATTAAAATAATTATACAACGACCGAAAGACACTCGCTATAGAAAATAGAGAATAAAAGTAATTCCGACAGATATATTTCGATGTCCCTTATTGATTCCTCTCCGAGTCTTGTTTCTCGCAACTATTTGGTCGTTATTCTACGACCATAAAATAAGTATCATCAATTGGAAATAAAAATAAGTATTCCTCCAAGGAGAATTGAACTTGCATCCCTTAACTTGAGGAATCTTTTCTTAATGTAAGAGCGACTTAAAGACTAAATTACGAAAGTTCACCGTGTATTCATTTATATTGGTTAGCGGCATATCAACAGCTTATAGCGGACCGTGGGTTTATGTGTTGTTAAATGAAATACACGTGAAGTGCCTGATAGAATAAAGTCCACTACAAGAATATGGTGGACTCAGAGATTGAATCCACCATAAAGAAACGTAAAAGAAAAACAAACAAAAACCGAGATATATATATATATATATATATATATATATATATATATATATATATATATATATATATATATATATATATATATAATAATTTTTGTTTAAAAAATATGATTCCTTCACTACATAAGAGCCCTCTTGTTTCAAAAACGAGAGCCGAAACCATCCAAATAATTATTAAAATTAAGTTGAATTGAGGTGTTTAGTTCCGTTTCATCTTCAAGCGAAATTTTAGGAATAAGCTATCTCTTGGTTTACGTGTGTTTTTTTAGGCATGGTCCATTATAACATTCGTTATTGTGGGAGTGGCTAGACTATTTTTTTCGTTAAGTGGTCAGAGAGTTAATTCTTATCGATAGATTCATCATCTTCTGAGAGGTTTTGCTAAGGTTGGGTAGCGGTCATCCTTTAGTTGGTTCCCAGTGAGGGATGTTTTTATGGCGCGCCTACTTATATATATATATATATATATATATATATATATATATATATATATATATATATATATATATATATATACAGGTATATGTCTTAAACGACAAAATTTACAATGGAAAAAGACATTAACATGTATTTGTGGAGGAAATGTCGTGTTCAATGTATGTTCGTACGTACGTGTGTGTGTATAATGTTCATAGCGTCTCAAGGAAACGCATAGCACCTCCCACAAATGGAAAGACGCAATCTTCTTCGAGAGCTTACATTGTAGATGTGTTCGCTGAAAATGTAGAATGAAAAAGGGAACGAGGCAAAAAATCGCCCAGTATTTTTAGTGTAGGAAGAACGCCCCTAGTGAACAATTTGAATAATTAAGGAGGAGTTAACTCCAACAATCTCTATCTGTTATTTAATACCCAAATCTAAATATTTTTGACAAAATTTTATGGTTTCTACTAAATATATTTTGAACACAATAGATAAAATGTATTGTTGGTAATTTTTTCATATAAAAGTGAATTGCTGGCATTTTTACCATAAAATGTATTTTTATACTTCCATAGTGTTTTATTTTTGTTTTGGTGTTCACTATTTGCACGGTGGATAGCGGCTCGGATTGGGGAATCGGAGAGCCGAGTTCGAATTCCAGTCGTATCCTTTGCATTCACTTACACGCTAATACCTTTGTGAAAAGTATGAATCCTCTTTTTCAAGGGGCTACGAGTAAATAGCAGGACAGACTAGGTTCTATGGATTGCAACTGGTCTACCGCAGAAAGAAATGGCAACCTACTGCGGGGAAAAAAATCTTCCTCAAAAGATATATGATCACCTAAGCGTGTATCACGCATGGCACATAACTGACTGATTTACCCATAGCTGGATCTGGGAACACCAGCAATTAAGAGGGGGTTCCACGCTTCTCAAAACCTCCAGTCTCCCGATCAGAGGCCGTGCTGCTGGATGTAGTTTATCGTCATACCGAGGACTAAAAAAAGTAGTATTACTGACAGAACAGAGTTAAAAATCAATGTAGATTAATAGGGTAGTTTAAATGTGGCATGAGGCCGAAAGTATGGAGCACCCAGTACAATGATATAAAATGGAATTAAATGTGTGTGACATGGAATTAAATATGTGTGATAAACAGAACAAGAAATTTTACCATCGAAAATATGCATAGATTTATAAATAATTTACTGCATACTGAAGTATAAAATTATTTCATGAACTTGGGACGATGAAATATAGACTATGTTAAATTATCTGATATTCTCTGTTAAAGACGACATGTCAAATTTACAACATCTCCGAAGAAATCCTGAATTATAAATCTCTTTATGTGGTATCCATCGGTCTTGAGAGACCATGGATCTGCGCGCCAAGAGTTATGCCTCGGCTGTTGATGGCGGCGTAGCATCTGTTATGGCTGTACAGACCCACACGGAAATGACACTCTCGGTTGCAACGAATGCATGTGAAAAGGCTCTCCCTGATGTTGCCCTGTTGTTTTATTTCTGTCGTGCTTGCCGGATAGCAGCGCGCCAAAACCAAAGAACCAGGCTAAGAAATGTACGTGATACTCTATTTATAAAGCAGAGTATTTGTTAAGTAACTCTCGGAGTAAGCTAGCGATTCATTTCTCGAGATCAAAGCAAACGATTGTTCTTGGTTAGTGAGTGGATTTAATCACATATCAAATTCTATTGGATAATTTTATGTCGAATCTTTATCCTAGACTTGAGTCCCTAGGAAGATACAGTTGATGTTTATACTTGAGTCATAGGCAAGCATAGGTAGCATTAATATTTGGATATAAGCCATGTTTATAATTGAATCTATAAGAAGACATAGGTCGTGTTTATACTTGAGACTTTAGACAGTCATACGTTGTGTTTATACTTGAGACTTTATTAGACGTTGATCGTCTTTGTATTTGAGTCTTCAGATCAGTAGTGTACAAAAGGAGGAGGCAGTGTATAACGTCGGCCCCGGGAATCCATATCGGGTGGACATCCAATGAAAGAGTGAAATAAAAATTTAGTTTATATTTAATTAGAATAAAGTGTTTATTTCATGTTTCATCAATTTTTACATATATAAAATGTCTTCTTCTCCCACATTTCTCAGTGCTAGGCTCTACTTTAGTCTTATGGGCATAAAATCAAGTAGTTAGCTCCGGGCATCACTAAACTTCTGCACGTCACTGCGTTAGATAGACATAGATCGTGTTTATACTCGAATCTTTAGATAGATATAAGTTGTGTTTATCACTAAGTAGACACAGGTCATTTTTATACTTTAGTCTCTAGGAAACATAATTCTGTTTATACTTGAATCTATAATTAGATATATTTCCTTATTTATACTTGAGTAAAAACTCAAGTATAAATAAGACTTATTTAAACTCAAGTATGAACACGAACAATGTCTAAAAAGTCGTGGTAGACATAGCCCGAGAGTGTACTTGAGTATATAGGGGGGAATAAATCGTAATTGTACTTGAGTTTTTTTATGTTGACATCGGCCATGTTAATACCCGATTATGTAGGTAGACAGAGGTTGTGCTGGCATCCATCCAGGTGTTGGCGCCATTTTGGAAGGAAGTTCCACCCCTTTACAGGGTGGGTGTAGCCGGCGTATTCTCGATCCCCAATAAGCAAATGGTGAGAAATACCATTTTCGCTATTATTCTGGGTGATCGTATCCATTGTGCAAGACAAACTTTGTCAAATTTTTTTTCAATATTTACTGGCGATCCTAAATTTCTTCAAATTCTCCAACATTTTGAATTGTCATTTACGGTTCTTTTCTTTTCTTTTTTTCCACTATTATGCCATTGCATTATCTCCCTTGGCTAAAATTGTCTCCCCATGGATTTGAAATTAATTTCTTGTGAGACAAGTGGCTTCCTTTTTTTTTTTCTATCACGACATTCCCATAAGTGTTTCACTTGAAACTTGATTGAAATTTTAACATTAAGCATAGAATTTGATGGTTTAAACTCCATCTATTAAATTCCCCCAAAATTAAGAAGCATTTGTTGATATTTACAGAACCGGTGAGGTATTCTATCTGCCTTATATCTTGTTAGTTATTTTTTTCTGTTTTTCTCCTTTCAATTCATATTGCTAACATTCATTTTAGTCCCACTCGAATAGAACGTTGTTTGAAGGAGAAATGGCAATCAATATACCTCATTACGAACGCAAAAGAAGAAAAAAGAAACAAAGTTAAAGCGTAGCTTTAGAGAAAAAATTAATTAAACGAATGAATTTGGCATGTGTTTCGCCAAAATCCTGCCTGGAGTGTAGGAGTGGAAAAAAAATAAACAATCCAAATGAATTCATTATTAATAGTGCTTAAAACAATCTCACAAAACAGAACGAAATAGACTGGAAAACAAAGAATGTGGCTGATATGTTTATTTTTTTAACCATATTTTATAAACGTTTCCCTTTACCTATATTTTTTTATAAATGAATAATTTCGTTCCCTTTCTATTCTCTTATGGGTTTGAGTTCGTGTGGAGGACACGTGCCCAAAATTCATTAATAGCCTTTTTATTTATTTTTTTATTTTTCATCCTTCAGGTTCTCTATTCTTTCCTTCCATCCTTCTTCCTTCCTTCCTCCTTTCCATCCTTCCTTCCTTATCATCATCCTCATCATCATCATCATCATCATTATAATTTTTCTTCTTCTCTTTTCGTTTTTCTTCTCCCTCTCCTCCTTCTTATCTTCTTCTCCTCCGTCTTCTTCCCTTCTTCTTCTTCTTCCTCCTCCTCCTCCTTCTTCTTCTTCTTCTTCTTCTTCTTTACGGTCATATCACGCTGAAACACCGGTTCTTGTACGATTACCGAAGTTAAGCAACGTCGAGCCTGGTCATTACATAGTTAGATAACCGCTTGGGAATACTAGCTGTGGTCATCATGAATGAGTGGATGGTGTAATGGATAATGGTTCAAAATTCGAAATCGGAGTGCCGAGTTCGAATTCCAGTCGGGAACGTTATATTCACTTACGCGTAAATACCCAAATTATTGATTCATTAGTAGAACTTGTATCAGTAAATCATTATTATTCCCCAGAAATTCTTACAAACTAATAATGTTTTCTGACTTTAGATAACCGACAAAAGGGTGATAAACCGCAAAAAACAAATCTATCAATCAATCTTCTTCTTGTGTTTTCGTACTCCCCATAAATGTTTGCTTGTCCTGGAGATTAAGTGATAGCAAATCTTCTGAATATGATCGCATTCTACTCAGTGGAATTTTCACGCATCTTTTTAATTGATATTTTTTACAGGCATGCTTATGTCTTCATGTTTGTTGTTAATATCATAAAGTTCCAACTGTTCATTTAAATGGTCCTCCCCAAATATCTGACGAAGGAAAGCGAGTTTGTCTCTTCGAACTTGAAGTTCTATTTTCAATCAGTCAATCAGTCAGTTATGTGCCATGTGCCATGCTTAGGCGGCCATGTATTCTTCGATACATGACTGACGAGTCAGATTTTTTCCCTTAGTAGTTTGCAATTTCTGTCTGCGGTAAACCAATGGCAATCCAAGTCTATAGAACCCGGTCTGTCCTGCTATTTAAAAAATAGCTGGGGTGGGGGGGAGAAGAAAGTTATTTCAATAATAATGTAATTTTCCGGGCAGTCTCAACCCTTTCGCGGAACTCCAACCGATATTGTTGCTTATGTTTTGGGCTCGGTTCAATGCGCAGCGACAGTGATGGACATAATACTAAGCTACTATACTTTATCATTCTTAATTCCTTACCGAAGTGCTGGTATTTTTATCAGATTGTCACTCTCCTCGTTTAATCCTTGCTCCGCCGGCACAGGCATGTCAGCCAACTGATAAGGCCCATTATCTTTATTTACGAGGGTCAAATCCGTGGATTGGGTGGTGGGAATGGATGTCGAAGATCCAAAGTATTTTAAGTATTTCTGCTTGAATTTCTAATATAAGGAGTTCTTATTATCCTATAATAATCGTTCTCATTCATTCATTCGTTAGTTTACACGACCGTTACGCCCTGCTAATACCTCCTGAATAAGGACTATTCCGTTTTGATCGCGTGGAATGAGGGGAAAAGACACTATTTAGTTTTAGTGAGAACGAAAAAAAAAAGATAAAAGTGGAAAGAGAGAATCAGATGAACTGATAAGAACAGATACTATACTTTGATCCTAGCCAAAAAAAAGTGGAGAAGTGATTGTATATTCTTGCCGCACCACGCTGGCAGGATGTGACACAAGGCCAGTTTAATGTGGGGTACTCGCGCTGGTATCGGTATTACTAGCGACCCCCCCCTCTTTAGTGAAATGAAGGAGGTACTGTCGATGATACTCTCAGTTGCACTCTGTCCGCAGACAGACACAACTGAAAGATTAAATATAGCTTATTCTACCGAGGGTAGATACTACACTTTGATATCAGGCAAAAGGTCAAGATGCTATGGTGACTGCGGTAAAATAGCCATTTTTCAGACTCACAAAACAACGCAAATCGAGTAAGTTAATCGTCAAAATTCCAGTTACCATAAATAAGATAACATCGTCTGCTAAATTATTTAAAAATTATTATTAAGAAAAATGTTCGTAAGACGGGGATTTGGCAAGAAAGAAAGAAAGAAAGAAAGAAAGAAAGAAAGAAAGAAAGAAAGAAAGAAAGAACGAAAGAAAGAAAGAAAGAACGAAAGAAAGAAAGAAAGAAAGAACGAAAGAAAGAAAGAAAGAAAGAAGTGTTCAACGGCTGTTTCATATAAAATGAAAAAGTTGTCAATTTGAAATGTTTTCATTTCTAACCACTTCTATAAATAACGACCAACATTCATATTTATAATTGTTATTGCAATATTTTGTTAAAATAATTCATCTCAAGTATTTAAAGATGTGATAACGGAATTTCTACGGATATTTTATTGCCGTAAAACTGACCATGAACTTATTCAATCATTAAGAGTTAAGATTTAAAATTCATCAGAAAATTTAAATAGGAAAACCGTGTAATTTTCACGCGTCTTTTTAATTGATATTTTTTATAGGCGGGCTTATGTCTTCATATTTGTTGTTAATACCACAAAAGTTTCGACTGTTATTCTCGATTGCTTTCTTCAGGTGTCTGTCGATCCGAATAAGCTTCAGCAATGTTTCCAACGAATATTTCCTATCTATTAACACTTTTCTTAGATTCTAGAAAACATCTTTCTCTATTCATTTACGCCTTCAAAGATCTGACTCACTTTTCACGTCGTCTGTTATAACATTTACCAAATAGATAAATCATTGTAATTGCTTAGATTTTGCCGTTCCCTGTAATAATCCACACATTGATCTGTCTTTTTTACTGACAACCATGTATTCGATCTTCTTACAGTTAATAGTTAGTGTTTTCTTCTTGCTTTCTTTTGCTACTTTGTCTAAGGTTTCTTTCAATTTTCCTTTTTGGTCTACTATCAACATAATATCATCCGCGTAATGGCGTACCTGGAAATCAGCTCACTGTAAATAGCACCAGCTTCGTGTCCCCTAGTGTGTTATGCAGCTGGAAGAAATAATCAACGCGAGTACCTAGATGGGTAACCGTGTGGGAATACCAGGTGGTGTAAGCTTGGATGTGTGGATGGTGTAAAGGATAACGGTTCGATTTGGGAACACACTGAACTCAGTTCCAATTCTAGTCGAGTTTGTTATATCCATTTACATGCAAATACCCTTCAGAAAGGTATTAAACCAACTCTTCTCCCCCAGCTATAGGTTAATTAGTAAAACTTGTATAATTAAATTATTATTATCCACCCCAAATATTCACAATCTAAAAATATTTTATGGAATTAAATAACCTGCAAAAGGTTGATAAGCTGTAAAAATCAGTCAATAAATAAATCTAACGATGAATGCTGACAATGATCTGGACAGAGTATGTAACCAACGAACAAGTTTCAAAGAAACTAGAAGGAAATGTATACTTACAATCAGAAAGAGACTGCTGAATTTTCTATGACTGATAATAAGGAAAGACGACTTGGAGAATCTAACACTCACAGGTCATATTGAAGGCAAGAGATGTATTAAAAAACCAAGAGTAACGTAACTAACGAATTTGTGTGAATGAAATGAAGAGCAAGAGTAAAGAGGCATGGTAAAAGATCAAAAATTACTTCGACCAACAAAAGTGAAGTTGTGGAGAGCCATAATCTCTCAAATCCGAAATGGGCATGTCACATAAAAGAATTATGCTCTGCAGTGTTTCTCCCACTTGCTAACAAAAATATGTGACGTAAAGTCCTGAAATGTACCTGAACAGATATATTCATCCGCACGTTGCGTAGCCGCCGTTATTCCGGTAAGTGGAAGAGTTAGACGTTGTTAGCGCGATGTTTGTAATTTCTTATCACTTCAGTTAATATTGTCTGTGGAGGAAGTTCACAAATACTTCGACTGAATGTCTTGGCATTATTGCCGAGGGCGGCAGAACCTGAAGATGTTGGCTCCATGTTACCTGGAGAAAGTAATCAGGCTTTTATTTCTCCTCCTTTATAATTCCGGTTATCGATTCAGAAAATTGATTAAGTCTTTACATTTTATTCCGTTAACTTTCTTTTTTTTTTAATTTTGAAAATTCTTGTCCTTATTTGGTTTAATTCAAAATTTATTCGTTTTCCTGTTTGCAACAGTTTTTTGAAGAGATCTTAAGAATTTCATCTTTGAGTTAAAAAGACAAGAAAAAACGTCTGAAGTCTCAAGAGATTTTTCTAATTAGTCTGTTCCCGCAAAACAGGAATGTCCGATTATTTTCTGTGGTTCCGATCACTGAAATATATTTCAGCAAGGAAAGAAGGATTTGTATTAGGGTTTGGGTTAACAATAATAGGACCGCGTTTAGTAGGAAAGAGATATGAAAGAAGTTCGGGAAGAAAAAGGAATTTGTTCGTGAGTCGGAGTTTGGGAAAAAGAGGAGAGCAGGAATAAAAGAGATAAAAAGGTTTTAAGCATCGGGGTGAAGGAAGCTTTATATTCAGGAAGAAAAGAGAGAAGGAGGGAAGGATTAGAGAAAGAAAGAAGATTAAAGAGATTAAAGAAAGAAAGAAAGAAAGAGATGAAAGAAAGAAAGAGATGAAAGAAAGAAAGAAAGAGATTAAAGAAAGAAAGAGATGAAAGAAAGAAAGAAAGAGATTAAAGAAAGAAAGAAAAGAAAAAAAGATTAAAGAAAGAAAGAAAGAAAATATTGGAAGAAAAAAACTAATTCCTAATCGTTATTCATTAGAACACCCACACAACCAAGCACCTGTCATTCCCAAATGATCACCTATCTATACAATGACCAGGCTGGACCTTGCTTAACTTTGACGATTGTAGGAGAACCGGTGTTTCAATGGATTGTGGCCGTAAGACCAAATATTCTTTCGGTGGAAGAAACCGGCCAACAACACAGACTTAGAGACTGGTGAGCATGATCCGATATGAAATATCTTGTCAGGATGGAAATATATATATATATATATATATATATATATATATATATATATATATATATATATCTTGGATAAAATGGTTCGATTCGAAATTTGATGAAAGCTACCGAAAGACACTTGAAGAATGTTAAAGTTCATTTCCATTTGTCAGTCATTTCCTACCAAATATATATTCTCTAGAATACGTATTACTGATTTCTTAAGCAAATATATATTAGGTTGGTGCAAAAATAATGTCGTTTTCTCACATATGTTACTTTTATACATGATTTCTGAATTAATTCATTGATATATATAGCTCTGTTATATATCATTTTGAAGGGCGTTTTTCGCTCTATCAAATAGTGTTATTCGTTACCGTTCTCAATCTCTTCATTCATTTTTTTGCAGGATTTTCGACAGCATGGACAAAATTCAAATCCGCACGATTTTCTTGTTCCAGTTCAAACTAGGCCGAAAAGCTGCCGAGACAGCTCGTGATATCAATGATGCGTTTGGCCCAGGAACCACTAACGAACGTGTGGCACAACGGTGGTTCAAGAAATTTCGCAATGGTGACGAGAGCCTCGAAGATGAAGACGGTCGCGGCCGGCCGACTGCGGTTGATAACGAACATTTGAAAGCCTTAATTGAAGCCGATCCTCGCAAAACCACACGAGAAGTTGCTGTTGAACTCGAGGTCGACCACTTATTTAAAGAAAATAGGGAAGTCAAAAAAGCTGGATAAATGGGTGCCGCATGAATTGAACAATAATCAAAAAAATCGTCGTTTTGAGGTGTTTCTACGTTCCTTCTGCGCAACAAAAACGACCCATTTCTTGAGCGGATTGTGACATGTGATGAGAAGTGGATCCTCTACGACAACCGGCGACGTTCGGCACAGTGGTTGGATGCCGAGAAGCTTCACAACACTTCCCGAAGCCGAAATTGCACCAAAAAATGTTATGGTGACTGTTTGATGGTCTGCGGCCGGTCTCATCTATCACAGCTTCTTGAATCCGGGCGAAACAATTACGGCGGAGAAGTACTGCCGACAAATTGACGAAATGCACCAGAAGCTCCAACGTATGTGCCCGAGATATGTCAATATGAAGGGACCAATTCTCCTCCATGACAACGCTCGCCCGCATGTTGAACGAATTGGGCTACGAGACTCTGCCTCATCTGCCATATTCACCGGACCTCTCGCCCACCGATTATCACTTTTTCAAGCATCTCGACAACTTCCTGTGCGAAAAATGCTTCAAAAGCCGAGATGATGCCGAATCGGCCTTCAATGACTTTATCGCTTCCAGAACTCCGGATGTCTATGCTAATGGGATAAATAAACTTTTTCTCGTTGGCAAAAATGTGCCGATTCTAATGGTTCTTATTTCGATTAATAAAGTTTATTATGAAAGGAGTTATGAGCTTTTGAAGTTGAACGTCAAAAAACGACATTATTTTTGCACCAACCTAATACGTACACATACTTATACGATGGTGTATTTATTTATTGTTGATATCACTGATTTAAATAAATCGGCATCAAATAAGTGGGAACGCTGAAATGTTCTAGAACCGAAATCATTATTCTGACGATTTGATCTTTTAAATACTGACTTTTAGTAGTTGGTTGGACCAACAAGTTTTCAGCAAACATTGTATGTCCATGAATCGATTCATTTTTCTTGATAGTTTTTCTTTTAATCCACATCTTGTGAAATTTGATCTCACTCGAGATGTCTCTCTTGAATGGCTTTATCAGGACGACTCAGATATCAACCAGTCGTCTTTTAACGCCACCAAAGAAAATTGCTTTCATTTAATCTCCACAGAGAAAATGTTCTGCCAGTCATCAGCATGGTTGGTGTTAAATTCTAGGAGAGCAACACTCTGCGCTTTCTTCTCACGTCTTCCACTGACATGAAGTGAAGTGATTCTATCGAATCAATTATTATATCTACTGCAAGGAAAGTTGATTCACTGTGTCGTGCCAAAAAGCTTTTCTCATCAGACTCCAACTTGCACATTTATAAATCTACCATTTGTCCGTGCATTGAATAATGTTGCCATATCTGCTCTGGTGTTCCTTCGTTATATCTGGAGACTCTTGACAAAATTCAAAGAAGAATCTGCAATGGAATCGATCCTGACCAGGCATCTCGGCAGCAATCAATTTCTCACTGACATGATGTGGCTTCCCTCTGTCTTTTCTACAAATATTTTAATGCTAATTATGTTTGTTTGTTTTTTTTTTTACCCTGGTGTATCGACATTAATTTAAGCGTGCTACTAGTTTTTCAACTAAGTCTTACCGTTTTACTTTTGAAGTAGCAAGATGCAACTAGCATTTCTCTTCTCGCACTTCAGATCTGTGGAAGTCCCTTCCGATTTCATGCTTCCTTAACAACTACAATCTTTAAAAAACTGAAATACAACGTCAGTTGCCATCTCATGTCTTCTTGAACCCTGTTTTTTTTTGGGGGGGTCCTTTCCTCAATCTTCCCTACTAAATTTTTTCTCATTCACTTTCACTCCCTGTAACCCCCCCTGCGTTCTAGTGACATTATCACGGTGACTAGGGTGAAATGATAATATATATATATATATATATATATATATATATATATATATATATATTACACACGCTCTATCTCTGATATTGAGCACTTTATTCCATAAATATAGCACTCCTTAAGACTATTTCTTTTATATATATATATATATATATATATATATATATATATATATATATATATTTGGTTGGATTGATGTGAGTTTGTGACCTGGGTGTCACTCTTTTGCGATCGTCAAACAAACTCAAACATGTTAGCTCTATCTCTTATATTGAGCGCTTTCTAATAAGTAGCGCACATATAATATATAAATAATTATATATATATATATATATATATATATATATATATATATATATATATATATATATATATATATATATATATATATATATATATATATATATATATATATATATATATATATATATATATATATATATATATATATATATATATATATATAGTCTTCAATAGATTTAGGGATTTTCAATATTCTTAAGGATGTCGGATCAGTTAAAGAGATATCGGAACGGAATATGGAACTGGAGAGCCGAGTTCAAATTCAGAGCTAGTCTGTTGCGTTCACTTTTGCACAAATGTCTTTGGAAAAGACATGAATCCATGTCTCCCTGCAATGGGTTAATTAGCAGGGGAGGTGGGACTGCTTAGTCTTGGCAGGCAAAAAGTCTAAGAGAAAGAAAATTCTAAATCCCAAACCGGGGAGAAACTTCTGTGGCGAATCATGTTCACCCTCGTCCTGGAGGAATATTTCTTAAAAAATAATCTTCAATGTCTTTCATTCCATACCAAACAAGTTCTTCGGTTCAATCCAGTCGGATGTACATCGCTAAGTTAGTTTCTCTCAGAATTTCAAATCTTTATGATTTGGTTGATTTTGTTTAGCAGCAAATCAACCTCTATGCATTATTTAATGCCGAAATGGAAATATTTTGAAAACAATTTTAAGGCTTCAACTAAATATAATTTGAACGCAATTATATGCCTTCAACTACAGATAAAATGTATTGTTGAGCATTTTGCATTAAATATGTATTGTTGGCTGGTTGATTTTGTTTAGCAGCATATCAACCTCTATGGATTATTTAATGCCGAAATAGAAATATTTTGTACGTAATTTTATGCTTTTAACTACAGGTATTTTGTACATAATTTTATACTTTCAGGATAAAGGTGTTTTTTAAGTATATATTTTGTTAAATCATAAAATCTATTTTTTTCTCTCTATATAAAAAGATGTACTGTTGATTTTTGTTTTGGGGGTTCATAGGTTGAATCTGAGAACAAGAGAAATAAAGAGGTGGTTCCACGCTCCTCAAAACCTTCAATCTCCAGATCAGTGGCCTTGCTGCCGAATGTAGTTTATCGTCATACCCAGAACGGTCATTCAAATCTATCTAGGATTTATTTGTTACTATCAAACAATCTTCGGGTTTCAAGCCATTTATAGTTTGGTTTTTTTTGGGGGGGGGTTGTTTTTTTTTGGGGGGGTGTTTTTTTTTTTTGTTTTGTTTTTTTTGCAGTTTTCCACATGTCATTCAACATAGAAAAGAACTAGCTGTAGCGAAATTGTCGTTCTTCTGCAAGAAATGTCATGAAAAAAATTGACATATATTTTACCTATTATCATAGGGCAAAGAAAAAAGAAAATTGATAAAACAGACATAAAGATCCTAATCTAATGCCCATTTTAATCAATCGATTATTAAAAAAACAATATTTGTAAATACGGACACAGAACAATTAATGAGAGGATTCATTTCGTCATCGATGACACCTACTTCCCATCAAATGCTGTAGACTGGGCAAAGTAATCTTCTCCTACTTTTCCATGTTGTTTTGACCAACTGCCAAAATACTCTCCGAACCACATTATTAGTCACTTTTATTGTATTCCTAATAAACTAATGAAAGCAGTCACAGAAATGTTTGCACTATTAACGGGCAGGTTTCAAATGCATAAATTATAGTAAGCTACATATCATTATTACATTTTGGCAATAGTTTAATGTATTTTACCGTATTTTCCAAGCTTCACATTATAAACCAGGTTAATGGAAAATATTACTCTAGAGAAATCTATGACAAAGTGGAAATAATTTTCATGTGACGTGTTTAGTCGTTTAGGACTTCATTGGACTAAAGTGATTACGTTGATGTAACTACACATGCGCAAAAAGTAGAGCTG